TTTGAGGAAAGGTTTGGTGTTTCATTTTTGTCCCCCTTTTTTTTTTTTTTTTTTTTTTTTTTTTAGGTCATGGTCCTGCTGTGCCAAGAAGGGTTAAGACGAAGTGGATCAATAGATTCTGCCACCCTTTTCATTTTTTGGCTCCTCGCGGCTTTCTGTGATGTTTTCCCTCTGCAGACCGTCATACGAGCGGCACTCAGACAGGTAAGAATTGAATTGACAGTGCAACCAACCAGTCATCACTCAGCCCTGTCGTTGTTGGTCAAACCCTGTTTTTAAATTCCATATTGGCCACCAGGGAGAGATTGTTGACCTCCCCCGATTCTGCCTTTTGTGCATTTCATTTGGCCTGGAAGTGATAGCCCTCATCCTCTCAGGTTTGGCGGACATCTCTCCAGATGCCAGGGAGGTTGTGAAAAAGGTATATGATTGGTGAAGTGTTTATATTTCCCATCTTTTTTTCTTTTTTTTTTTACCCTACACATTCCCAACCTTTATCTTTCCTTGACAGAATCCAGAGGCAGGTGCACCATTTTTGAACAGAATCACTTTCAACTGGTTTAATAGGTAATCCTGCATAACCAAGAACAAATATTATGATACTTTAATGTGCAAACGTCCAAGGCTACCATGATGTGTTTTTTAACACTTCTCTATTGATCACATATGTTGCTAATTATTTCTCTATTTATCAGATTACAGTAATAAAACACACAAAAAAAAAGAATACAGTTAAGAAAGGCCTGAGACTGCATGATAACCACTCTGTGCCTTAATTAATTGCGGAATGTGGCCCACGTAAAAAATAAATATCTCAAATAGACACCACACTTTCCTCTTCTTTGATCTAATAATACCATGCCTCAATAAGTTGCCAGGTGGACAATGTCACACCTCAAACAAACGCATCCTTTTTACCCATTTAACTCTAATAGACATGTGCCTCAATTAATCTTTATGTCATCCACTTGAAGAAATAAGTGTCAAACCTCAAACAGATGGCATATTTTACCCCTGCCGCTCAACTACTAAGTGCCTCGGTTAATCGCCGGCTGCATTATTCCACATGAAAAAATATTGCCTGAGCTCAAAAAGACACCAGTCCCCCTGCCCCTTCACTCTAATTCACAGGCGACAAAAGGACCTGTATCCTGCATGTTTTACATTTTTCCCTCTTCCAACACACCTGATTCAAATTGAAAGGCTATTCAAACACGAAAGCTGGTGACCCAAGACCTTTGCACATTACTGTCCTTAATGAACACAAACTCATCCTGCCTTGCACTCCTCAGTATGGCGATAAAAGGGTACCGGCAACCCCTGGTTCAGGAGGACATGTGGGCCTTGAATGAGGAGGACGCCACGGGTTACATCAGCCAGCACTTCCAGTACTACATGCAGACAGAGTTTGCCGCAGCTCGGCAGCGCTACCAGAAAAAGCTGGCCAAAAAACAAAACAAGCAACCCCATAATGAAACATTTCAAAATGGACTCTCCAGCGGCCTGGGGAAAGGCATTAGTCAGGATGTGTTGATGATGGTGAGAAAAATCATACAAAGTACTCCGACGCTCTCGATGTTTCTTGCACTGCAAATTGATTTCATGTATTGATTCTGTGCATGCAGCCGTATTCATTGTTTTATGAGTCTGTGCTCCCATTCTTTTTCTTCAGGAGGCTAGAGGCAAGAAAGAAGACGAAAAAGCAAAGAAAAGCAAGAAAAAGAAGGAAGAAGAAAACTATCCCACCTCATGGCTCATACCCACCATCTACAAGACATTTAAAGGGATTTTGTTTGAGTCGGCCTTCTTCAAACTTCTACAGGACCTTCTCTCTTTTGTCAGTCCTCAGCTGCTAAAGTAAGTCAAATTTGAGCAGAATGATTATGAGCATTTCCGAATGACTGTTACTGATCACATACCTGAAGTTATTTTTATTGTTATTTTGGAAGTAACTTTGACTAGATTGTTTATTATTTTGCGTCAGTGTGATTCAGCCTCACCTTGCCTCTGTGTCTTCCCAGGTTGATGATCACTTTCACTCAAGACAAAAGTAGTTATGCATGGGAAGGTTATCTATACGCGGTGTTGCTTCTGGTGGTGGCCCTTCTGCAGTCTCTCTTCCTGCAGCAGTATTTCCAGCGCTGCTTCGTGCTGGGAATGAAGGTCCGGACTGCTATCATGGCTGCCGTTTACAAAAAGGTAAAAAACTAAATAGAGTCCACGAGAAAGCATGCCGGTACACAATTTACAAAGCTCGGGGTCCTTGGCTTTCAGATGAAATTTCAGAATGAAACCAAAATACCAGGGAATGAAAATCTCACAATAAACTCAAAATTTTGCCGAACCAGTGATGTGACATTCCCTCTCTTATCCATTTCTTCTCGCGCAGTCACACTCCCCCCCCCTCATTTCAGTGCACGTTCTGGGTCATAGTGGCATATCAATAAATCACTACTGTACATGTTACTCAGCAGGATATTTGTAGGTTACAAAGGAGCGAGTGGGTTTGATGCAAAAAGTGAACATAGCTGGGTCATGATAGTTCGAGAGCCAAGGGTGGATTTCAAGACAGCAGCTCCGCTAAAAGAGAAAATATCTTAGCCATAAAAGCCTCTAGCCTCGTGTAAAATACCTGAGATGAGGTTTTCAAGGTGCCAGCAGAGGGCAGTGTTTCCCTTCTTGGATGGCTGGCCACTCAATGTGGAGTGTTGGTCCACTGGCAGCGTCTGACACGTGACTTTCTGCAGTGGTCGCTTCCACATCCTGTTTGACACCTCCCAATGGCAGGATGTCAATATCAGTTATTAGGTGTCATCTGGGTCTTGTGATGTCAAAATATGAATCGCATTATCATAAGGAGAGTTGAAATTTATTCTTCCAGTCATGATCCCTCTTAACACATTTTGCCAACTTTGCCAGTCAGCTCGTACTGAAACACTGGATAGTTGGACACGTGCATTCAAAAGTCAAATTTAATTCACTTGTAAAGGTTGTTGTACATTTTCTGTGTGTTCTAAAGTTTCTGAAAATCGAATAGCTCTAATTTATTTTTGAGTCGTGTACATTTTGTTCTGTTTAATGTGTTACAGCCATGATATGATTATGTGCATGATTTCTTCAAGGCACTGGTGGTCTCGAATGACACTCGTAAAGAGTCCACGGTCGGCGAAACGGTGAACCTGATGTCTGCTGATGCCCAGCGCTTCAATGACGTGACGAACTTCATCCACCTGCTATGGTCCTGCCCCCTGCAGATCGCCCTGTCCATCGTGTTCCTTTGGCAAGAGCTCGGACCTTCAGTGTTGGCTGGACTTTTGGTCATGATTCTCATGGTGCCAATTAATGGACTGCTGGCCACCAAGGCTAGAAAATTCCAGGTCATAAACGCATGCAGAAATGTCATAACATGGCACATTTTTACAGACGTACTTCATATTTTGCTTAGGGGTTTTTCTACCTTCTTTACCGGTACATACTTTCCTCTCTGATTTACATCATCTCCTTTCAGATTGAGAACATGAAATTCAAAGACAAGAGACTGAAAATCATGAATGAAATACTCAACGGGATGAAGGTGAGCTTCTTCTGTCTTCACTGAATTCATGAACTTACAATCAGTGGCAAAACTTTTATGATCACTACCTCTCAGCTACGGCACTCAATGAGGTGATCATTGACGAGCAAAAAACCGTCAGGGTAGTGAGGTAAAGACATTTTTCTACACGAGGGACGTAAGTACACACTGGGGGTACTCTATGTATTTTAAGAGACAGAAAAAACACAAAGTTAAGGAAGCTGGCCAACGGCAGGAAGACATTCTAACAAGGAAAAATAAGCATCCAAAATAAAACAGGAAATCGAAAAACAATAGGTACATCCTTCGATCAAAACCTTCTGAGCTTGAGAGACTCTTAACCCGGAGGACCTTCTTTTGTGTGACCACAACATTTTCTGTGTACTTAAGTTGGTAGGAAATCTTTCTTCACTCAAAGCCATTTCGATTGTTGTTAGATTTCTGAAAAAAAAAAATTGCCATGCCACAAACAAACATTGATGATTGTAAATATATCCTGAGATGCTCTCCACATCTGGCCTACTTATTAATTTCCTCATTGTTCTCCTGTTAGATTCTGAAGCTGTATGCATGGGAGCCATCCTTCCAAGCTCAGGTTCAAGGAATCAGAGGCCAAGAACTCAACGTCATGAAGAAGTTTGCTTACCTCACATCTGTCTCCACATTCATTTTCAGCTGTGCTCCAGCTCTGGTCAGTCCTGTCCATGTGCCACATATGAGCAGAGGGAAAAAAGAATATTGTTTGTGTCAGCTTTTTACACACTGTCTGTCTGTGTTCCAGGTGTCTTTGGCCACCTTTGCTGTGTTTGTAGTCGTCAGCTCAGACAATGTGTTGACCGCCGAGAAGGCGTTCACTGCCATCTCTCTCTTCAACATCCTTCGATTCCCTCTGGCCATGCTGCCCATGCTCATCGCTGCTATTGTGCAAGTAAGGACACAAAGTGATATGACGCATTCAGACATAACGCGTCTGTCCTAAAAGGCTCATTTTGTCTTTTTGCAATGTAGACAACGGTGTCCAGAAAGCGTCTTGAAAAGTTTTTGGGAGGTGAAGACCTTGAAAGTGATGTCGTGCGCCATGACCCCAGCTTCAGTATGTTCATGCGTTTCTGAGAAACAGTATAGCCTTCTTCTTGGCATAGGTACAATGAATCTACCCCCTGTGTCTTCTAGGTTCTGCTGTTAATGTTTGCAATGGTTCCTTTTCATGGGAAAAAGATGGCGAGCCCCAACTTAAAAAGTATAAATTCTGCAATAAACACATTCACAACACACCCATAATGCCTCACTGCTGTAGTTTTGAATGAACGTTCTCGTCTTGTGTTTAAATCCCAGCGTCAATTTGGACATCAAGCCGGGTCGGCTGGTCGCAGTCGTGGGAGCTGTCGGCTCGGGCAAGTCCTCTCTGATGTCATCCATTCTGGGAGAAATGCATAGCACCAAAGGCTTCATTAACATTCAGGTGACGTCTTCTGTTTTTTGTTTGTAAAATTGGTTATTATTGTAGTTCCGCTAAATTTAGTTCATCTCTTTTTTTGATCTGAAACAACAAATGAAGAAACAAATGATGGTATAACTTAAAAGATGCACACTGTATCGCTAACATTTCCAGCTACCCGTAGGTAAACTCCAAAATATCATTGATTGCAGTCATGGAACCAAAATTCGGACCCAGGAAAATGAGTCACCGGCCAGGGTGGCTGATTGCAGTATTCTTAATCTGTCTTTAAAATGTTACAGTTTAATACTACTCATGTTTTAACATAAGTCAGAATGGCATGTCATCATGATTAATTGCACTGCACGTACAATAAATGTGAAATATGAGTGTAAAAGGAAACCTACACGTTCTATTCCATAATAGCGTCATTATGGAATAGAACGTGTAGGTTTCCGTTTTGATTAATTATTATTTAAATCAACCTTATTGTATTATTATTGAATGACCATATTATTTGCAAGTCACATCTAAAGTCTGCAGACCTAGTTGTGTTTTTATCCTTGTGTGCCATTTTGAACAAATTCTTAAAGCACTGCTACCTGTTGCGTTGCACGGCAATACAGTACTGTACTGTGTACCTCCGTACAGGCCGACTTTTAAGTCCTTTCATATTTACCGGTAACATGAAATTGTGAGGAAAAAAAAAACTTTGAGAGGAGGACATAAACAATGGAATCAGATATTTTTAAGTAAACTGAACCATTCATTCTTTTCCAGGGTTCACTTGCCTTTGTACCACAGCAAGCATGGATCCAAAATGCCACCCTGAGGGATAACATCATGTTTGGCTCTCCCCTTGAGGAGAAGCGATATCAAGAAGTGATCCAGGCCTGTGCCCTGGCTCCGGATCTAGAGCTTCTCCCTGGGAGTGACATGACTGAGATTGGGGAGAAAGTAAGAAGTTCGAGTCACGAAAAAAAAAAAAAAAAAAAAGATATTTATTGTGCTTTTTGCTCTGTGTTTGGGCATGTCATGTGGACACATTTGATGTGTGTGTTGTTTATGGAGCCTTTTAGATTGACAAAGCACACCAAAACGCAGTATGGCGTCACATTAAAAAGTGACTTTTAAAAATGTGTTTGATTGTGCATTGGTTTGTTCTATTGTTCTTTCTTTGTTTTGTAATAGGGCATCAACCTGTCTGGTGGTCAGAAACAGCGTGTGAGCTTGGCCAGGGCAGCGTACAGTCAGGCTGACATTTATCTGCTGGATGACCCTTTGTCTGCTGTGGACTCTCACGTGGGGAAGCACCTTTTTGAAAAAGTGATTGGACCTAAGGGAATACTTAAAGACAAGGTCTGTGCATGCATCTTTTGCCAAAACAACTGTCATTTGTCATCTGTGTGGATTGACGTATTCACTTTGCGGTTATTTTTTTATTATTATTTTTTTTTAATTAATGACAACGAAAAGTGTTGTACTGTTATGTTCAACCAGAGATTGTGGATTGAAAGCCATTCCAATTGTTTATACTGTATAGGCATTGTTCTAGTTTTTACGATGAATCAACTCCTGAAACCCTGTGTATGTTTTTGTTTATGTAGACACGTATTCTAGTGACTCATGGAGTGAGCTTCCTGCCTCATGTGGATGAAATTGTAGTCCTGGTCGACGGAGTGGTTTCTGAAGTTGGATCTTACAACAGTCTGCGTGCTAGCAAAGGCGCCTTTTCCGAATTTCTGGACACGTACGCCAAAGAGCAGAATAATAAAAATCCCGACAAGTCTGAGTCAGGTAATTCAATCTTTCTGTCACAATGTAAAGTATAGTCTGCCTGCCTTAGCTAAATTCTAAACTGTTTTAGTTACGTCCTATCATTGTCTCTCCATATGAAAAAATCAATTCACTTAATATGTTTTACTAATTTTAATAATTAAATGTCATGAAAGTCTTAAAAGTGAAAGGATTTTTAACACATATCCATTGTTAAAGGCCAAAAAGAACAACAAATGACCATTTTATGCATTGTAAAATAACGTGTGCTTCTTCCACAGAGCATGGCCTTGGTGTTGCTGATGAGGACCTGGTCCCAGAGGGAGATGACACCCAACCTGACTCCCCATTAGAAGACACTGTCACTGCAACTCTAAAAAGGGGGAACAGCATCCGCCGCAGCCAGCGCAACAGCAGGTATAGGATGACAATGGAGAAGTGGATGACAAAATACATGATTGTGTATGTGAGACTGCTTTGTTCCATTGTAGTTTTAGAGCGGCAAGAAACGGCTCCAAGAGGAAATCTGGAAATGTCGAAGAAATAAACAAAGGCCAAAGGCTAATCGAGAAGGAAGCTATGGAAACAGGACAGGTAGTCTCAATTCTTTTTCAAATCAATTCAGTCACCCAAATACAGCAAGAAATGGCATTATGTATATCTAAATGCCTCTCTTTAATCTCCAGGTAAAATTTTCAGTCTACCTCCAGTACCTGCGGTCCATGGGCTGGGGATATACTGCCGCAGTCTTCCTGGTGTACTTCATCCAGAACATTGCATTCATTGGCCAGAATATCTGGCTCAGTGACTGGACAAATGATGCAGCGAGGTACTACAACATGACATACCCTGCAGAAAAGAGAGACACCAGGGTGGGAGTCTTTGGCGCTCTGGGAGTGATTCAGGGTAACCGTGACAAGTACAATGGATTGTTTTGAATTGGTTGTTTCATGATGCAGTATTTTACAAATATATGAAATTCTCTTCTTGGCAGGCTTCTTTGTGTTCCTTGGTACTCTTCTTCTCGCCAATGCCTCCGTTGCAGCATCTCGAATCCTGCATTCAAGGCTGCTCGACAACATACTACGTGCGCCAATGCTTTTCTTTGACACCACGCCCATTGGGAGGGTTGTCAACCGCTTTGCAAAGGTCAGGCCGATTCTAAACTTGTAGGATCCACCGAGTTAAAAATGGTGGTCTTAATGTTTCCTCTCTTAGAGTATATCCACATTTCCTCTATGTTTGTCCAATAGGATATATTTACAATAGATGAGGCCATCCCACAATCCTTCCGCTCTTGGATCTTATGTCTGTTGGGGGTTCTGGGGACCCTTTTTGTTATCTGTCTGACCACTCCCTTCTTCACCATTGTCATCATTCCCCTGGCGGTGATTTACTTCTTTGTCCAGGTGAGAAGAGCAAATGTGCAGAAACAGGTTACTGTAATAATTCAAACTTCTACAAAGACTTTAACTGCATCCTTTTAAGCATCACGAGCATGCTTTCATGCCATGATTTGTATGTATTTTATTTTAGTGAAAGATGTACAGTAATATGGTTTCTGAAATAATGTCAAATTTGGATTTGTGTTTTCTGTTTGTCAACTTTTTTTTTTTTTTTTAAATCTCTTGACACCTTTATCCAGCGCTTCTATGTTGCAACATCAAGGCAGCTACGCCGGCTCGACTCAGTGTCTCGCTCTCCCATTTATTCCCACTTTGGCGAGACTGTGTCAGGCCTGTCTGTGATAAGAGCGTACGGCCATCAAGAAAGGTTCCTCCAGCACAATGAAGCCACCATGGATGAAAACCTAAAGACCGTCTACCCGTGGATAGTGTCAAACAGGTCAGAGAGCGAAATGACTCATTTTTCCACTGATGGGTGTCATTAAATGGAGAGGCCCTTTTTCATGTTTGTTCCCTGGACAGATGGTTGGCAATTCGTTTGGAGTTTGTAGGGAATCTGGTGGTGTTTTTTGCTGCTCTGCTTGCGGTTATTTCCAGAGATAGTCTGGACAGCGGCATGGTTGGCCTTTCCATATCCTACTCCCTCAATGTAAGTCACGCTTTGATGATGGTGTCGGTGGTGGTGATGGGACCAAGCAGTTGTGATGTGACTTGTTTCTGATGCGGGAATTGTAGGTAACCCAAACCCTGAACTGGCTTGTTCGGATGACGTCAGAGCTGGAGACCAATATTGTCGCTGTGGAGAGAGTGAGTGAATACAGCATCATTGAAAATGAGGTATGTCAACATAAAAGCACTTTAGCAGACACTGACAATATCCCACACTTTATTGATTGAAACTGTTGTTGCCGGAAATGTAGGTTTTGCTTATTTGAAATTTTAAAAAAAGGTGAGTCAGCAGTATATAATGTAACATAATCTGACCACTATATTTTTCTACTCCATCATGTAGTGTAGTACACAGTGGCATTCGTTGTCTGGACACTCAGTGTGGACTTAGCGACTTAACCCTTCACCTTTTTATTTTATTTATTTATTTTTTATATTGCATGGGTTTTGCTGATGAATAAAAGTGTGGACAGCATGTAGTACACAAGAATTAATGAGTATTAAGATGGATTTTTTTAAACATTCATTTTAGTTTCACTTGCCTTCAGTTGTAATAAACCGGGAGCATTGTTTGATATTATTAGAAAATGCATACAAATAAATCCCTCCACCCTGTACATATATCATTTAATGTGATATTTCTATAACCATAGGCCCAATGGGTAACTGACACTCGGCCAGCAAAGGAGTGGCCTGATGCAGGAAGACTGCAGTTTGAAAACTACAAGGTCCGTTATCGACCCGGTTTGGATCTGGTGCTGCACGGCATCTCCTGTGATATTAGCTCCACTGAGAAGGTTTGCTCGTGGATTTAATTTTGAACATAATCTACATCTGGATTTATGTATTTTATCACACTGTATTTACTCAAAGCTTTCTTCGCATTCAGATTGGAATTGTGGGCCGCACAGGAGCCGGGAAATCCAGTTTGACCAACTGTTTGTTCCGAATCATCGAAGCTGCTGAGGGTCGTATCCTCATAGACGGTGTTGATATTTCCAAAATAGGTCTACATGACCTAAGAAACAACCTCACTATCATACCACAGGTACACACAATCCCAAGATGACACTATAAAATGGCTCCAGATACAGAGCACTGATTCCTTCGACCCTGTGCAGGATCCAGTGTTGTTTTCCGGAACCTTGAGGATGAACCTGGATCCCTTTGATAGATCCAGTGATGAGGACCTCTGGAAAGTGCTGGAGCTCTCCCATCTTAAGGAGTTTGTGGCAGGGCTTCCGGAGGGATTGCAGCATGAGGTTGCAGAAGGAGGAGAAAACCTGAGGTGGGTATTGGCTAAGTGCATGTCCTTTTGAATACACATTCTAGCACAGTTCAACTGTGTACTATTTGCTCAGGTGGCACACAATTTTAGTCATGTTGAGTGTGGTTGACTTTCCAATTTCAGAGGCTTTACTGTATTAATGAATGAATGTCCGAATTGAATCATTAATCTTAGTTTGAGCAACACCCTCTAGTTATCCTTGGATCCCAATGCTACGAGTGTGCCTACAAGCTAGACTTTGACAATATTACTAACGTACATTTGTTTGTGTGCCACACCTCAACACACTCAGTGTTGGACAACGGCAGCTGCTGTGTCTGGCCCGCGCATTGCTCAGGAAATCTCGCATATTAATCCTGGATGAGGCCACCGCAGCTGTGGACCTGGAGACAGACAACCTGATCCAAACGACCATCAGGAAAGAGTTTGCACACTGTACCGTTCTCACCATCGCACACCGCCTGCACAGCATCATGGACAGTTCCAGGTTGGTTCTTTTAAACTTTGCTTATGCTGCATGTGGCCCAGAAGTATGCGGCTCATTACTGTTTCCTTGTCCACAGGGTGATGGTGCTCGATGCTGGTAGGATAGTGGAGTTTGATTCGCCAAATAATCTGCTTGAAAAACAAGGTCATTTCTATGCCATGGCAAAGGATGCTGGGATAACACAAGCAGAAATTACAAGTCTTTGATGTGAATGTATTTTAAAAGAAAAGATTGCTTAAATTTGCTTTGAAGTTTCATTTTTTTTAATGTTGTACTGTACATTGACAGAAACGTTTTTGTATTCATCATAAACACAATCATACATGTAAATAATTCTATATACACTGTATACAGAAAATAAATATGAATAAATGTGTTTTCTCAACTCCTGCTTGGTTGTTTTACATGAAATCTTGCCAGATGTAAAATTTTCACTTTAACTTGTTAGCCTACGTGTACAGTATTTGGAATATTTTTTAATGTGTTGGTAAATGTTGTTCTTGTTACAGTATAGTTATTTGCTATTGCGATCACTAGTTTACTAGTTCGGCTTGTTATTCCAAAACTACTCCGGCTCATACGACCGGAGACAAATTCGTCCTTTTTTTTTTTTTTTTTTAACGTACTAGGCCAAGAAAGACGATTCTGTTATGAAATCTGCGATTTGACGTTTTACCCCGCCTTTTGCCCAAAACTCAGCCTATCCAATCAACGGCACCTTATCTGACGTCATTTTATTGTTTCCTCTCAGAAAACAAGGGGCGGAACTAAAACCAAAACAGCGGAAGATTCAAAATGAAGATGGCGGCTGTTGATTGTACTCAACAAAGTACACACGAGCTAAAAAGAAGGTACCGGCTGTAAAACGAAAGTTTCTCCAAAAAGACAAATGGTCAAGTTTTACGTATTTTTGCTTAAGTGGGGATATAAAGTAATTGCGTCGTATCCGACCGTTTTGAATTCTCGGTACTCGGTGCTGTGAGCTAGTAAGGCTACGTAGCATTCTTAATTTATGATGCTGCTTTACGCACAAAACTGTAACTGTTTGAACAAATCTTGAGCAATTAACTGCGAGTTTGCGCAATTTTACTTGAATGTGTTTGTATTTTTCCACACAGGGAGACAAGAGGCTGTGTGTTTACAAGCATGGAAACATCAAACATATGCCAGCCGGTCATCTTCAATCCGGACTTCTTTGTCGAGAGGCTGAAACATGAACATCCACAGACCTTCACAGATCTGGTCCTGGCACACCTCACACGACTCATCGACCTCCCAGGAGAAGAGTTTGCTGAGCTCACAGGGGACTGTGAGCCCAGGATGCCATCCTCGACTGGCTTCCTCCGCTCCTTCAACTTCCTGAGACGAAAAGGTGATTTAAAAAAAGACGAAATCCATATGCTAATTTCATGTTGTTTAAATTTCACTCTTCTTGTTATTCAGCCCCTGTAAGTGCAGTTTTGCAATGCAAAAATACAGTCTGAAACTAATTAGATTTTTTTAAAAATTTTTTTTATGTCTATAGTGTTGTGTGGCATAGACAAAATTTCACAGACCGATAATATAATATGGCATCGTTGTTTCCTTAAAATGTAATGACATGAATGGCAATTTTCTCTTATCTTTAATCCATATTTATAGGATGCAGATTTTATTTAGAAAACAGTAAAATTAAAAGAAAGTTATAAAAATTAAAGCAACAACAACAACAACAAAATATGCAGACCATTTAACCAGTAAAAGTGCTTATCATATTTATGCCACAGACTATGGCCTAATAGAGCTCGCATTCTTTTGTTGTGTCTCTCTCCATACAAAATGACAACATTTATGACAAGATCAGTGAAAACATGTTTTATCATTATAGCAAATTCATTAATTCGCAACAATACTTGAGGTCAATATGGGCTGATAGTCCAATGTGTGTACCTGTTAATCTTAGGTCACTCTCAACCTCACTTAGACTTTAATCAAAATTGCACAATCATTGACATTTTACTAACATCCGAAGAGCAAACTGTAGCAGCACAACCGTCCCTTGCCCCCGCCCCCCTTTTCATGGTGACCTCAGCGAGCCACATGAGAGATTGTGAGAAGGACCTCAACCCGTCTTGTCATCACCGTGACTTTGCACACGAAACATACCGACAGCTTGTATCCCGTATTTGAAAGGGGGTTTGTGCTTTGTCAGAGGAAGAGGCAAAAAATATACTGTATTACTTAGGTGCAGGAAATAAATTTATTCCGCCAATAATTTGTGGGACGCGAGCGACCGCATTGAAACGGCTCTCCCTTTGTACCTTGATGAAGTTAGGAATCTTAGAATGTTGAAACCTTTCGTGTATGTTGATGACATTTTGTCCCCCTCCAGAGAAAGGTGTAATTTTTGGTGCACCCTTGACTGAAGAAGGAATAGCGCAGATCTATCAGCTGATTGAGTACCTGAGCAAAAGTAAGTGTTATTTTACATACTCAATCACTTCATATTAGGGCACTTTTCCTTGAGGCTTTTTATGATGTGATGTGACCATATTTGCATGTATCCCCAGTAAGAAGGAACACATTGGGTTAGAGGGTGTTTATTTATAGTACAGACTGATCATATGACTTTTCAGTTGAGGCTTTGACAACAAATTCCCTGGGAGACTAGGGAGAATGTATTGGATTTTACAACTCTTTTTTGCAATTGAACATCTACCATCACGCGACAGTACATCAGTGAGCTGAGTGAAATAAGTGAGCTCTGAGAGACCAATTTCACTTAATAGGTGAGAAAATGCTGAGCTTCTTCAAATAACAAAGCTTATCTGTCCATGCCATAGATGTATTACAGGTAGGTTGACCAATTAAATGCTTTCCCATTTGATGACAGAATGTACACTTAACCCGTGTATTCACCTTCTGTCATTTATACACTAGAATAATAGCTTTGTGTTCAACTCAACAGACACAAGTTTATTTGGGACTACACTGATTGGTTATTATCTCAGTGTCTATACAGAACAGTACTTTTGTGATGTTTAGTGATGCTTCAGATTTTTCAAATGTAAAAACAAAAAAAAGACTGCTCATTAAAGGATTGCTCATGTCCTAGGTTACCAAATATATGACACTGTGGCACTTATACTGATGTAGATGCATTCTTTTCATGAAAATGTCAAGAACACTCAAATTGCTTAGTCATCCTGTGCCTTTCAAATTTTGTGAGAACCTTCCTGCTGCCTGCTAGCCTTGAATTAGCATGACGTCTTCTCGATTTATTTCTGGAAAGCCAATGACGTATTTGCACAAAAAGTGGACACTGCGTCCAAATGCTCGAGTCAATTATTCATTACAAAGCACTTCGCCTTGGCGCACTCGCTCTCTTTCTTTCCATTTCATTCGCTCTGTCTGTCACTGTGTCTACACACTGACATCATGTTTTCTCCTCCATCTGGGCTTTCTCTCAGATCTTCACATTGAGGGGCTGTTCCGCGTGCCGGGCCACAGCCTCCGACAGGCCGCGCTGAGGGAGATGCTAAATGCCGGGGCAGAAATAGATCTCGAGACGGGAGACTTCCACCCCAACGATGCCGCCTCGCTGCTCAAAGCCTACCTGGGAGAGTTGCCTGAGCCCCTGCTAATGCACAAACACTATCATGCCCACCTCAAAATTGGAGGTGCCCATTTCATGACTCAAAACAAAATAGTACTTTTTTTTTTTTTTTTTGGAGCTTCTATATCACACAACATTTTTAACATCCACAGAGCTGACTCTCTTTGATGAGAAAGGAGATAAAACTAAAACTCCAGACAAGGAGCGGCAGGTGGAAGCCTATCAGTTGATTTTCATGCTGCTGCCACCAGCCAACCGCAGTCTGCTGAAGCTCCTGTTGGACCTCCTCTATCACACCGCGCGCAACCAACGTGTCAACAAGATGTCCGCTATCAATCTTGCAACCATGTTTGCGCCACAGATTATCTGGCCCAAAAATGTGCGGATCACTTACTTTTCTTTCAGATCGCCTGAAACCCAGTATTTCCTGACTAGTTTGTCTTATTTTGTAGGTGATGGCATGCGATCTTCAGGAAGACATTGAGAAGCTAAACAATGGCATAGCATTTCTCATTAGGCACTCTCAAAAGCTGTTCAAGGTAAACTAGCACAAAAAAAAGCTTTGACTATATGTCCCCTCTTTAGTGGGACATTGGGGCTGTAACTTCAACCACAATTATTCTATTTACATTTGCTGTTCTTTCATTGAAGGCCCCGCCATCTATCAAAGAATATGCACGTATATACTTCACTGGATCCAAAACTCTTCAATCAAAGGTATTTTTTATTTTATTTTTAAAGTTTTTAACTGTAACACATTTTTTCATTGAATTGAATTTCTTTTCCACGTGTTCCTTCTAGTTGTGATTGGAGGGTTTCATTGTGTAGTTGAGCTCGAGATAGACACTGATTTTATTTGAATGACTGCAACTGAAACAGTCTGAAATGTACCTGCTTACTCTAGGATGACCTGATGTTAGTCTCGGGGACCAAAGAGCCGCCGGCTGTGCCACAGCCTGCATCCATTGTTTCCCCTTGCACAAGAAAGATTAGTGGCAACAGCTCGAAAAAGTTGACGGATACTGGGACATACACCGAATCAGCTCTGCGAGAACTTTACCACCAAGTCAACAACATGCCCGAGTCTGCCAAAAAGAAGAAACTCATCAGGCAGGTCAGTGTGAAATACAGGTATCGATGCGATAAGGCGCCTCTTGCAACTGAACAGGCGAATGTGCCGTGTTGGTGTGTGTTTAGTTTGAGAAGCAGCCTTTGGTGACACCCTCACCGGATCCCAGCTCACCATTCAGCAGGAAGCACTGGCGATCCCGCTCTTTGGGTGGAATTATTAAGGTGTGTTGACATTAATTGTACACAGTGCCAACTCTGTTGACCATGGAGAAAAAAAATCTCTTAATTTAATGATTTTATTTTTTAAAAATTGAATGCGCCCGCTGCTGGCTGCGACAGACTCTATTCTTGGCAAGATTTTTAAAAAGCTGATACTCTTTCGACTACTGTATACTGTTTACATATTCAGGTTTTGTATGTAAAAAATTATTTTCTTAAGAGTGTTTTTCAGTTTGTGCAATGTAACTGTAACTGACTGTCTCTGCATGGCTAAAAAAAAGCCACAAACAAACAAAGGATAGTAAAATCAAGCTAAGCCACTGGGTTAATATCCTCTCAGGCTGCAGCTAACGATTATTTCAAGAATCAATTCATCTGTTGATTATTAATCAGTGAATCAAACAAAATGTGTGAATTTCCATCCATTTATTCAAAAACGTGACATTGCTTCAGATTGACTGTGTAGAAAATATAAATAAATGTAAACTGTGATTCAGTTACTCGTTTGGTCTAAAAATAGGCAAAATGTTGAGTAAAAGCAAACGTTTTTGGGTTTTTTTTCCAACACAAAGATAATCAATCCATTTTCATTGAAGACTAAAGAAATCTGACACTTAATATTGAGAGCTGAATCTTGGAGCATTAGGACAATTTTAAATTTGAAAAAGTATCGAAACAATCAATTTTCAAAAGTAGTTATTGGTTTGACAATCCATCAATTCCTTAACTAGACAGTGCCAACGACTAAATCAAAAGTTTGTAGTTTGGTGACAACAAGCACATTTTTGAAGCACTCAAACACGATAATATTTAGTTTCTCATAGGAATTATTGCATAGCTTCGAGTGATGATTTTGTTTGTCTAAACAGAAGAAAGTGTTGGGAAGCCAAATATCATCAGGCAAGCCAAATGGCAAAGTGCATAGGGCATCAGACAGCTGCTCAGATGATAACAGCAGTGGAGGGGTGAGTCCCTACTATGATCCTTATCTCCAGAATGACTGTTATTAGGTTCAGCTGACAAGGATATAGCCAACACCAACATGATTTCTTGTTCTTCTTATCTCAGTAATACATTGTGGAGGTCAAATCGTGTCTTCCCTTTCTCTCTTAATTCCCTTTTAGGCTGTACTCCAAGTGAGGAAACTTCCCATCTAGCTGTGAAGGTGGATGCCTTTCCAGCCCTCTTTAACTTAAGGACTGAATATGTGTCAAAGAGCCAAATTTTATTTCTGCGTATTTTTCGGAGAAAATGCAGAGTTTGTTGATGATCTGAGCAGTGAGGGTGCTATGCTCTGTTTCAGTCAGCCGCCGCGTAACCATTTTCTTCAGGAAATGTGTTTAAAAAAAAAAACACGTGAATGCATGGCAATTGATGTTTAATTTTGTTATTATTGTTGTTTATTTTGTTTGTTTGTGTTTTTTTTTTTTATCCAAAACATATTTTTTATTCATTGACTGGGACCATTTCACAGAAATGTTGAGTTGAGAAGACCAGAGACGTGCCTTAAAGTGAATTTCTTAAGTTACTTACTATGTTACAATTTTGCAATTTCTATTCTACACAAAATGTGTGCAATTTCCTTTTTTAGGTCTCCCAAACATCAGAATGTGCTATAATTTAATTTAAGCGGAGTATGTTTAAATGATGTTAATTTAGAATCCAATGTCCAAAGGACACTTTCTAGAGATGATATATTTCTCTCTTTGGGAATTCATTGCTGTTATGTTTTTGTTTTATATATATTTTTTCCGGGTATACTACTGTCCCTCAAATGTGTGTTTGTGCTCTTTTGAGTACATTTGACCTTTTCCAAGTCAGTTCTGCTTTCTTTCAGCTCTGCATAGTTTTTGTCTTTCTGCGTACTGTATTAGTTGTGAAAGACTTTTTACACTTTTTGTATTGCTGGTTGAGGGCAAATGAAGTCCTTTACTTTCTTAGTGGGGTGCTTTCTGTGAGGGTTTTGAGCCACTCTTGTGAAAAGTTCTCATCAGTTGTGGTTTCTTCCAGTTCCAAGGCCACTCTGCCAAATTGTTACAATACAAGCCTGATGTGGCAAAGTCACCTAAATGGACTGTGTTGACTGGTGATATTGATGCTACTGTGAAACCCAACAAAGGCCTTTTTAAAAGACTTCAAACCATATTCTGTTTCTTAGTTGTTTTTTCCATTTAAAGCAAGTGCTTTCAATTATTACCATGGCCAACAGATGGCGGTACTAAGTTGCAAATGGATAGGTTGCAGTCAATTGAATTTTGAATTTTGGATTGGTTTTAGAAGAAAAATGAAGATATTTGTTTTTAATATAAGTCCCAACGTATCTTAAAAACCTTACATGTATCATCTTTGACAAAAAAAAAAAGCAAGTCGTATACTCATTTAAATTTGTACAACCATTGTCTTTCCACTGCGAGCTCTAAATGATCTCCTTTCTACTACAGCAAGCATCCATAGAATATATTTGTGAACCGGTGCATCCCCTGCAGTCAATAAGACTCACGAGGAGACGGTGATGACTTAATACGGCACAGAGAACGTCAAATAAAATCCAAAGAAATTGAAATAAATGCCAACCTCAAACCCATGAGCAGCAAATAGAAATAATGATAGGGGTGCAAAAAAAGCTTGACCTTTAACTGTTACCAAAGGCCTTTTCAGTTTGTAATAAATTAGTTGAAGGTGTGTGGGTGGATGCAGTAGGAATGTCTCAGTGTGTCATTATGGGATCCATGTCAATGCATGTTTGGTATTGTAAGTATATGTTGTAAATACTGGTGAGAATGGCACGACTTTCTCATGCTGTGTAAATATATAAGGGGGCGTGTCCATAATGGCAACACTATTCTATTGTTTTGCCGTAATCGGGTTTCAGTGAGCGATCTTTCAAAATCAGCTTGTAAATGAGTCGAACAAACTGATATCTATATGTCAGTGTCAGGTGTGTGTCTCTGCTGTGTATTCAAAACCATCCTGTTTAGGTTTGTGTAAATACAACCTTGAACAGGGCCACAAGGTAAATAGTGAGATGATATGATTGCATAGTTTTAGAATCCTGGTTAAAACACAGGCTCTTTGTGTTTTTATGGGTACCCTAAAATAAAAAAATCAGCTACTAAATTCATTTCTGACTTGAAAGTAGAGACACCCTTTTTTTGTAATGCATTTCGGAATGAAAGAAAGGCAGAAATGTGTTTTCTGCAACTGCACTAATGTTCTCATTGTTCTTTACTATGAATTGTTTTATCCATTTGTCCTGTAAGTTAATTAAGACAGGTCTCCTGTTTTGTACTCAGTATTATCCCTTTTCTAGTCTAATTATAAATAACAGACATGTCCTCCCACTGCTTTGAGAGCACCAGAATAATTCCTGTTGTGTTTTGTGTGCATTCCCGAAGTGGAGCGACATATCCCCCACCCCCCCATTACCACTAAACATCACTGTCTCCTCTTTAATTAGGGAAGATCTACACCGTGCCGACACTTTTACTGAGACAGATGGACCACCCTTCTCCCAAAGTATCCATAAGTACACCTGCATGTGCACATGTGCTTTTCTCCCAATGTTTCTTCCTTTTTTTTTTTTTCATGTTTCAACCAATGAATGAGATTCTTTGGGCCGTGTTTATGTTAGGAGGGATACACCCTGCAGCAAAATCCCTCTGTGGAATCTAAGTGTCCTGAGGTGAACTATAAGCACAGCACTGAATAAAAACAGCTGTGTTATTTGTTTACAGGTTACTATAAGTTAAACAGAGGTTATTTAAGTCAATAAACACTGAACAATTGTTAGAAAGCGAAGTTTGTTGCCCAAAGTTGACTGGCAGCAGTCAGGACTCATGTCTGGTCATGTTCAAAATGGCATTATGCCAATATTCTATGACTCAACTTGATATGTCAAATAAACAGTCGTCGTCTGCGCAAAGCCCTTATTGGAAGTGGCTGCAAAATTGTCGTGAAAGAGTTTCCAAGTGTGCTTTCACTTACATTTTGGCCGCCTAGACGAAACAGAGATATTAGTGTACAGAGTGTCCTACACAAGCCTCAAGCAAAGTTGTTTTGGAATTGTTTCCTCTTACTTTCCCTCCCAAATGTTCTTTTTTTTTTTCTTCATGGTAGCAATTTGACACACAGACATTACTGTGAAGCGTGAGCATTTCTGTGTGAGCGTCTGTCAACAGCTCCCAGTAATGAGACATTCCCAGCCCAAATCCACATGTAGCGTTCCTCAAAATGCAAATCGATATAAAGATAGAATAGTCGTTATGAGCCGTTCAAAGTAAATGTCACTCTTTTGCTTGAAAGAAATGTGAAATGCAATGTATGGCCAATGATGGTCGACAAATGCTGCTTATCTGAAATAATATTCTCAATCCACTTTAGGAACAGTTACTGCCGTTGAGAGACGAGTGTCATGCCAATTTACATCCACATAAATCCCATTGGCCGTGCAGGTATGACTTTTTCAAAATGTGTCGGTACCACTCATGTGTTTATATGACGCTATCGCTCATATGACTATTTGCACATATGGCTACACTTGACCACACGTCTTTTTTTTTTTTTTGCCTCTGAGGGGCCGAGGTGTTGATTCCGCTCATCCCTGCTGGATTCATCTTTGTTCCATGTACACATTTACAGCCACACACAAAGCTCAAGCTCCCCATGCACAGCCCTTCAGGCAGGGGTTATGCAGGTTAGGTGCCGCTCTCTTGGGGGTACGCCTGGAGGCAACCTGGGAGAAAGGAAGGAGTGGAGTGGGTGGGAATTAAAAGATAAAGATATGTGGAGTAGATGTGGATGGTGAATAGAATCCAGGGAATGAAAGAGGGATCTTGAGAATGAGAGGGAGTTCAGGCAGGGTTCTGATTGGGGGGGTGTATACTGTGTGAGGAGGGGTAGGGGTGGAGTCGTGGGGGTCTGCTATTTGTAGATCCTTGTGATGGATGACTGGTGTGAGTGTGTGTGTCGGAGAGAGAGAGAGAGCGAGAGAAAGACTTTTTTTTTCATTCTGCTCTTTCCTCCTGTTTCCTCTCTTTAGGCAAGCAGAGCGGAGTGGGACTGAGTGAGGAGGAGACGTGTGCACACCACAGCCACTCCACACAGCCAAGGCAGGAGAAGAGTTTGCAAGGAGACAATAAGAGCAAGAGAACTGCTTTTTGAGGGGGATACCAAACTCAAAACGAGAAGTACAAGACCCAAACAAACAAAAAGGGATTTGTCTTTCTAAACTTCTCACAGGAAATTATATTGGTTTTATTTATATTGGCTGAACATATATACATTTTTTTTTTCCAAATTTTAAGCAGGATTCCTTAGAAGGCGGACAGGAAGAAATAAGTCAGGCTGGGACGGTGTTGACAAAGCTAGGCAAAAGGATGTTTTTTGGCACGTTGGAGATGTGCGTCTGGGCCGGGATGCTCTGCGCCCTGCTGACAGCCAGCGCGGGTGCCTGCCCTGCCTTGTGTACCTGCAGCGGCACCACAGTCGACTGCCACGGACTGGGGCTCAGGACCATGCCGAGGAATATCCCACGCAACACCGAGAGGCTGTGAGTACCACCTGCCCGCTTTGCCTATTCCCTGCTGTGGTAGCATGCTTGATGTCACTCCAAAGATTGAGAACAATAGCCGTGCTTGTCAAGCTGTGTGTCAGACACTGGCATTCCATTCAGGTGTAAATAGGCGAGAGGGACTGAGCGGATGTGTGCTTTTCGTGTAGCAACTATTTACTCAAACGTAATTGACTTACACAAATCCAACTTTTAAAGTTGAAGAAATAGAGTTCAAGATTTGGAGTTCATATTTTGATTCCCCACTTAGCTCCTTTTCACTTCATCCCCCACTCTGGGTCTCCGCTCTACTAACCCCCCCAACCCGTCCGCCTTTCTCCCAGGCATGGTGCTGAACACTCACTCCACAAATTGTTAAATCATCTAGAAAATTAAGCAAATCTGCTCCTTAAGTGAGTCTTCCACCAGGATCTTGTAGCTGTCTTGTAAAACTGATGGAGGATGGGGGAGAGGGAGATGAAGCAGACATGCACCGGCTGCCAGAGTGGGGTTCCGTCGTGTTTTTCATGACACACTCCCCTGAAATATTCATCACTAAATCAGAAGTAAAGAGTGTGAGGGCAAATAGATTGTTCTATTTCAGCTTTTAGAATATCAGTCTTGAATTAAAGATGCTCTGGCAAGAACGGAGGAGAGAGAGCCTGTGTCAGAGCCAGCGCCGGCACAGTGGGAAATGGCTGCATATTTAATGCTTTTCATCTTTAATTTCTAAGAACACCCTTTTTTTTTTTTTTTTTTTTGCCTGACAGTCTGAATGTGTCCGTGCTGTTAGCACGCAGGCTGAGGCAGCAAGGAAACATGGTCATTTTGTGGTTTTCCTCTCACATGAATGCTTGTAAATATTCATTGCCCCTATTACTCAAGAGTTTTTTTTTAAGTTGTCTGTGTATTCATGTGTCTCTCCTTAACTGTACACATCATATGTATTTCTATTTATTTATCTGTGTGTGAGTAATGTTTACCCCCACAATACAGCTGACCCACAGTGGCTACTATTTTAGAATCAGGGACCATCCTTTTCTGCGGACTCTTACAGTGTATGAGGTGATAAATCAAGGTACAATGTTCAGGTCAACACAGTTGACCTGCAACCACACGATTGTCTTGTACATATGCCTAAATTTACCATGCCATGTGCGGAATCCTTGTTTTGCAATCCTGCATCAAAATCTTAGAAGTTAGTTCAACAAAAAATGTCAGCCTCAACTTGTTTTAAATGTATTAGGCGTGAAATAGCAAAAACATAACTCGCCTCACTTCAGTGGCTATGCTGAATTAGTCTTGGAAAGTACAGCAGAGATGACTAAAAAGCTTTGTGGATTGTGTTCGCGATCGTGTATACAGACTGATGCGTTTGGGAAATGGTGTGGGTGTGTTCAAGAAGGGGGAGGGTTTTTGAGAGGTGTGTGTGTGTGTGTCTGTGTGTGTGTTTAGGCAGTGGGATGTGTGCGCCGAGGGTGTCGCCACAGACAGCAGAATCCCATTTGCACTTGTCAGTGTGGGTTTGGATCAGTTCTGACCCCTGAGCTCCTCAGCCGGGAGACACAGTAATGACACTGTGAGGCTCCCCATGCTAAAACCACCACAGGACCACTCCCCCTTATTCCCTCTCCTCATCTTTTTTAATGCTGCCGCTTCCTCATTCTTTGCCTCTCATCCAGGCAACCCCATCTTCTTTGAAATAATCCTTAAAAATATCTCTTGTTCAATACTTTGCCACCTGATTATTTCGGCAGATATTGATCCAAACACAGCCCATTTCTCTCTTGCAGCTTTTCCTCCTGTTCAGCCCGGCTGTCAAACGCGTGTGCCTCATCTGCGTGAATGAGTTGATTTGCAGAGGGGGAGGAGTGTGGCTATTAACCACGGTGTGCCCTTCTTTTAATTGCAAAAGCCAGCCTTTTGACAAATGTCTCCAGAATCTCCTCTGTGCTCCATGTGTGTTCTTTTTTTATTTGTCAAACTTCTGCATATGTGCATAAGGTAAATGAGTAACTTCTTTTGGGGGGGCGGAGTGGGTGACGCTGTAGCTGGAAAATATGTGTGTATGTGCCAGGGAATGCCTGCAGTGTTTTTGGCATCGCTGCTTCAACTGACAGCTCGCCAGCCACCTGATCCATAATTTACCCCAACAAGGCTGAAAACAACCGCCTCGCTACCTGGCAACGGCGAAAGTTGAAAGAGCATGATGTAAAAGGATAAAGAGACACACAGGCTGAGAGGCAGCGCATGATGAGAGGATGCTTGAGAGACAAATTGATGCACTCACTCGAGCTGGTAATCACTGAAAAGGTGACTGCGGAGCCACAAGAAGAGAAAGTGCAAAACCCAAAATACGCTCACCGGCGGTCACTGACGGGCCCATTCAGTTTTTTATCAGAAGGGGCGAGCCATCGGTAGTGTAGTGGGTTACACTTTGGTGTGACGCCAATGCCAGTCCAGGTTATCAGACTTTCGTCCTCTGGTAGCTGAGATAGGCGCCAGCTTTTCCATCACCCTGAACAGGAAAAAGCAGTCCCTGCACCTAAAGAGTTTAAGAACCACTGCATGCTCCCAGGGGGCATTTTGGCTCAAGCCATTTACTCCCAACGTTATGGTTTCGGGTTCGCTCCTCAGCAGCAGCATGTGAGCGAAAACATCAGAAAGAAAGCTCATTCAGACTTTGTTTCAATGCACTGGCGGATGAACCGACAAATGTCAGTTCAACTCATCTCTGTCTAATTTAAGTCTAGTATTTCAAGGAGATGTTCTCTAGTATTTGTTGAATATGTTGATGTTAAGACTTCACCCAGTTGTTATCGTCTCTTTTTTTCCCCGAGCCACATACCTCTACAAAAAGCATGTTACATGTTCAAATGCACTGCCAAACATCAAAGGCGGCTGCTGTGCTTCTAAACTCACCCTTGACCCACTAGCCTGCTCTCCTGACACAGCTACACTATATTTCTGATTGCACGCTTGAGAGGAATCATCCCGCCAAAGGCATTTATGTGTGTCAAAGCCATGAATCAGTTTTAAAAGTCACATTGTATGGACTTTCAGGGACAAAAATGTGAGGTCTCACAAGCGGTTATAAATTCTGGATGGGGATCATTTGTAGTGTTTGGTCTACCGAAACATGCACAGGTTTGTCAATGTAATTCAATTTCAAGGTGTGCGCATGTGCGCATGATCACTCTATATGCAAGTCCAAATCTTAGCCGACCATGAAATCCGATTTAGTGCATCCACTCAGATCATCTTTCATCTCCCAGAAATTCTGTCTTTCTTGTTAACCTTGCCGGCTGAGCGGTCGCATCCTGGCGGCGGTGCTTGTGAGTGACGAGGGATGGACGGCGGAATTCGACTGCACTTTGTTGAACGCTCTCCTGCCATCCTTGATACGCCTGCATAATCCGCATTTCACGCTCATCGAGATGCTTTTTGATGTGATCGAGTTTCAGAGAGGCAATTACACAGCATTCCATATACAAAGGAAGATCTGAACTCAGTTAATGTAAAGGTGCCGCGCAACAGACGACTGCTGTCATGTGCTCTTTATTCCTGCATGAGGGAATTTATTATAGGAGAGCCATTACTGCTTTTACCCAGAAATTGTCATTAAAATAAAAGTATCTATTCACTAATCCATTTTCTAGAGCTCTGATCCTGTTCAGGGTATCCAGGGGAGCTGGAGCCAGTGGAATTGGGGCTGTGTACCCTCCTTGCATGATTGCCAGTCAATCATGTGTTATTGTGAAAGAGTCAGTGAGTTGGAAATGAGTCAAACTTTATTCAACTTCAAGTCGCCAGCCATACATAAAGCGCACTGTCAATTTTTGAGAAAATTAAAGCATATTAAAGTCAGAAAAATACGGCAATGACCTTCAACAAAAACACCTTGGTGGAGATCTAAGATTGACTGGCCATGGCAGTTACCTGTCAAAAGTTGCTTCATTTTCATTTGCTTGTATTTTTTAATTCTGCAAAAATGACATCTGTGAAAGTTTGCCAATGGGTGAGGTGTGGGCCAAGTATTAAGTATTATATTTACCCTTTCTTTTACACTCTTGGTATCTGAATTGTCATATTTTTCCACTAATTGCTCAATGTGCACTGAAGTAGTTTTGAATGGGAAATTACGTTCATTGGGGTGCCTATGAGATGTTGATCCAAATTTGGATTATTCAGAGTTGTTCTAGGCCTGAGCTCTACAAAGTGCCATCCTGGTTGAGAAGTTTCTGTTTGGTTGCAGGAGCATGCAAAAAAAAAAAACAGCAAATATTTTCATGAGACTTTGCCAGTGAGCACTGCATGGGCCAAGGACAAACTGGTTACATTATAAAATTGCAATTTTCGGTTTGTTTGTTCATTTATTGAACCTATTCAACATTTTGGCATGAAGTAAAGGGAAATTATCCTAATTGTTTTTTTATTTTGTTCTTGTTTTTAAACTGACTGGTGGTCAGAGTAATAAGTTTCATTTTACCAAGTAGTTACCCTTGTTTTGATCGCTGTTCGACAGAACTTGATTTTAACATTGCATTGCTGATGAATGCAGTGCGTTTGAGCCCATTACAAATTGATGTCAACATTTTCCTTGACTTCTTTAGGAGCACTTCTCAATAAACAGATAATCCAGGCTATGGGTACCAGTGAGGGCAAACACATTGGCTCTGATCCAAATTGGGACTGTTCAGCCTTGGTGGAGGCCTGTGCACCGCCGAGTGCCGTTAAGACTTCATGTTTCTACTCATTAGAGAGTGGCGGGAACATAATGTGACAGATGTGACTGAGCAGATGTTTTCAACGCGCACAAGATACATGATGCGTTTCAGAGCGCACATTCATACATGGTCAGCGCACAACAGCAGCAGATACAGTATGAAGCATGAAAGACCCCTCAGTCTGGGCCTCCACTGCAGCGCACTGTGTGTTCCTGTCCCAGTCTGTTGCGGCGGCGGCGACATGCACTCGAACAGATGTTTGATTTGCGTTGG